TCATCTTCTGCACTGTGTAAAACAAGGCAAATTTAGGAGTCTCTGGCATTTTCCTGCAGGATGTCCCTGTAATTCCTACTGGGGTGGTTCCAAAGTCTCGGTTCAGCATGGGAATACTCAGTTTAATTGCAGTTCACTGGGTAAATTTATTGAGGTCAGCTGGGTGGGAATCTGTCTCTGGCCCCTCTGGTGAGGATGGGACCTGCATTCCAAGCTCATGGGAGGCAGGAATCTCTCCCCAGCTCCTGCAAGGATTGCAGGAAAAGCCTGTGCCTGGGAATTCAGTGATACTTTGGGGCCAAGTGTAGCAGAAGGGACCGGGCTGGAAAATAAAAATATCCTCTTTCAGTTCTCAATGACCTGAAAGTAAATATCTCAACAAGCTCCTCTTTGATATTAGGAGGGAGGGTGGAATTCCCAGAGACAATTTTGGTTCTGGAGAAACGATTTGTCATCCAGCTGAAATGAAATGCCTGAAAAAACCCAACATTCATTCAAAGGAAATTATCCCTTGGAGCTGAGAATGAGAAGGGAGATGAACTTCAGTGGTTCAAATGCACAGCCTGGTCTGACTGTTCAGCCTAATTTCAATATTCCTTTTTTTTTTTTTTTTTTTTTGGAGTTCCCTGTATATTTTCCCAAAGTATCTTCATGTGTCTAAAGGAAGAAGGATGCATGGATGGAAAAGGAATTTTTTCCTTGCACATCAGTTGCTTTTACCCCCTTCCAGCTCATGTTCTGCTTAGCAAAGCCCATACAATAAATCGCTTGGAACGGCTTTTCAGCTGTTAACGTGGAGAACACCCTAATTAAGTGAGTTGCAAATGACCTTGTGGATCCTGCAAAGCTGCTGCCATCCTGGAGCAGCCACGTGCTCCTTCATTCTGCTTTTTCTTTCACCTTTAATAGCTGGGAATAAAATATAATAGGGAACAGTCCTGTAATAATGGAAGTGCAGGTTGTGGCTTGTTCAGCACAGAGAGGTGATTATGGCAAGGCTTTTTTGTTTTTTAATGTAAATACATGATTTAATTAAGAGATGTGGAAGGGGGATAAATAAATAATTAAAGCAGGGAAATGGTACAGTAGAGGCTCAGCTTCTCCTCCAAACGAGGAGGATTTATAGGGTTGCTCTGCCTCGGCAGTCTGGGGGTGCTCTGGGCTGGTTGGCCATGGGCAGAAGGTCAAAGTGCTGCTCAGATGAGAATCTCAGCTCTGACAGTTGTGTTGGTTAGTGGGGTTTGCCTTCTTCTTGAGGTCCCAGATCTCTTATTTTTGTCATCCTCTCAGTGTAGGTCCCAGATGCCACATCTTTGCCTTCCTCAAATTTTAGGTCCCAGATCTCACATCTTTGCTTCCCTTCAGTGCAGGTCCTGGATCCCACACCTTTGCCATCTGGGTAGGTCCTAAATCTCATGGTTTTGTCATCCTCTCAGTGTAGTCCTAGATTTCCTATCGCTTGATTTCCTCTCAGTTTAGGTCCCAGATCCCATATCTTTGCCATCTCTCCATGTAGCTCCTCCTATCTCCTCCTCATCTCTCCTATCTCAGCTCTCTCTGGACTCTCATCTCCCCCAGAGTCTCCAGGACCTCCTCACTGGCAGAACACGAGACAAGGACAGAAGTCCTTGATTAGGGCTTAGGATAAACTCGACTTAGCAAATAAACCCAACCACCAGCGTGTCACCAACACCCTTCTCCTTCCAAATCCAACCCACAGCCCTGGGACAGCTACTGAGGAGAGATTAACCCCATCCCAGCTGAGACCAGGGCAACATCCACCCCTCAGTCCATAGATGTTATGCCAAGTTCCACATTTCCCAGTATTCCATCCCCTTCCCTATTTATCTGTTTACACAGATATACACACAGACATCATTCCCTTAGTCTGGAACATCCATCAAAGGTTCATAAAACACCTCAGTGTCCCTTGTTTAGTCCCCTCAGCACAAAAATTCCGCATTTCCCATGATTTTTTTGGGCTCTGTGTAGAGCTGTGTGGGTGAAAGGGAAAGGTCTGGAATGCAGAGACCTGAGCACAGACAGGATCCATTAAAACATCCCCAGTGCCTCAGTACAGCAATTCCTTTGGGATATTCCTTCCCATCTAAGTGTGGTTATTTTCATGCACTCTCAGACTGTCAGCTGAAAACAGGACAAAACCAGAAGCCTGAAAGGACACGCATTTACCAAAGATATAATTCCCAACATTAGTGTTTTTCTACCCAAAAATCGCTGCTTCTGCTGTTCCGTGCCTTCAGCCAGGCAGGGATTTTTCTCTTTTCCTGAGGGGAAATCCCTGTCCTACACTTTGACATCCACAAAGTAGGGGCTTTACCTGAATTTCACAGTCAGTCCCATGTGAGGATCAACAGCAAACCCCAGACCCTGAGGGCCAAGGGCCGTTCGAGGGTGTTGTTGGTGTCTCCTTGGTTCTGTCCATCTGGAAAAAAAAAGCTGGAGACAGTTGGATGGTTCCTTTTCATAATTATTCATAGCACTTTCACAGCACTTTCACATCTGGGAAAAAATGGTGTTACTGCCGAGATTTTTGCCAATATCAGAATGATTTTGTGTATTCCCTGGGGAACCCTCCACGGGAAGCTCTTTGGAATAAACCTTTGAGTCCACTAAATACTGAGGAAGAAATTCTTCCCTGGGAGGGTGGGCAGGCCCTGGAATGGAATTCCCAGAGAAGCTGTGGCTGCCCCTGGATCCCTGGAAGTGTCCAAGGCCAGGCTGGAGCACCCTGGGCTGGTGGAAGGTGTCCCTGCCCATGGCCAGGGGGTGGGATTGGATGGTTTTAAGCTCCTTCCAACCCAACCCATTCCAGGATTCCATGAACCCCCCAAAAATCCAGACATGCCACACGAAGAACTCCTCACTCCTCGAGTTTAGGGGTGCCAGGGTAAAATCTGCAGCGCTGGGCTGGGCTCCAGAAACCCCCTCTGGGATACAAACCTGGACAAGACAACCAGTCCTGTTTCTGTAGGAAACAGGGTTTGCAGAGCATTGAAATCCTGACAAGCTCCATCTGCTCCAGCTCTGCCTCCTCAGGATTTAATTAGCCCAGCTCATTAACAGCAGCACAGCTGATGGGTTCGTTAGCAGGGCCCTGCATGTGGGGGGGGGGGGTTCCTTTTGTCCCCAACAAACAGAGCAGTTCCCTCCACACGTTCCTGTCCTGGTGATCTCCACCAGGACTATTCCAATCCCCTTTTCCAGGCTGGTTTTGTTCCATTGGGAGGCCCCTCGGGATCTTTTTCCAAGATGTGAGAAGAGCTTTAGGAAGGCTCAGGCGAGGGGGGAGGGGCACTTCCATCTTCCACTTCCCAAATCCCAAATATTCCACTTCCACATCCCAAATTCTGAAATTGGCTTTTTACGACCAACATTCTCGGGTTTTCTGTCTCCGATCCCATCAATAGTGGGATTTTTGGTGGGGTTTTTTTGCCTTTTTTTTTAATCTTTTCCTGATTTTATCTTTGCAGCAAGGCAGGAAAAAATAAAAATTAACAGGCAGAGAGGCAGATAAATAGATAGATAAATAGTTAAATACATTAAAAAAAAAAAAAAAAGTGGGTTTTTCCTGGACAGACAGCATCAAAAAAAGAGAAAGATATTAGAAAATGTCTAAAAATGTTTAAATAAATGTGCAAATAAATAAATGTGAGGCGGTTTGCCCTGGACAGTTAGCATCAAAACACAGAAACAGATTAGAAAATTCCTAAAAAAAAAACCACCAAACAAACCCAGAAAACTAAAAACACATAAAGAGATAAATAAATAAATAAATGTGGGAGGGTTTGTCCTGAACAGGCATCAAAAAAAAAACCCAGGAAGAAATTAGAAAATGCCCCCAAAAATGTTAAAATAAATAAATAAATAAATAAATAAATGTTGGGGGTTTTTTGTCCTGGACAGGCAGCATCAAAAAAAATAGGAAGAAATTAGAAAATACCTAAAACAAACAAACAAAAAGTTTTAAAAAGAACTAATTAAATAGCTAGATACATAAATAAATGTGCTTTTTTTCTACCTTGGACGAGCAGCATCAAAAAATGGGAAGAAATTAGAAAATTCCTAAACATTTTTAGTGCCAGCCATGTGGGTAAAGCAGATGAAGAAAATTTCACGTGGAGTTTGGAGGGTGGGCTGTTTCTTTCTCGAGTTCTCGTGTAAAATGTGATCCCATTAAAGCCTCGGGACCTTTTCTCAGGAGAGCAGTAAAGCCTGGCATGGGATTAGCTCTGTTCCCTTCCACGGGTCACTAATCCAGTCAGCATTCCCTGCATGTCCAGCCTCATCCAGCCAGCCAGGCTGAATCCCTGGAAACAGGAAAATGATGTTTTCCAGGGCTCAGGGTGGGATTTCCCGACCTCCCCGGTGCTGCTGGTTGGGGCTGGGGGCAGATGGTGCTGGAGGGGAAATGTGGGGCTGAAATGATTCAGTCAAGGAGAGTTTCATGCAGATCAACTGGTTTTCCTTTCTGTTGCTGACTGGAGATAAGAGAGCCAGAAATGGATGTATTTTGGAGTGAATTCTGTAAGTGGAGCTGAGCCCACACCACACAGGGACTGACCTGGTTCCTTCCCAGAGGGGTTTCTGTTCTCACCCTCCGTGTCAGGCTGAAAAAGGAAGAAAGTTCTGTTATTTGATGAAGGAAGTGTCAGAGTTGAACTCAGAATTTCTTCTTACAAGTACAACCTATTTTTTATCCCTGCATGCAGCTTGTGGGGAGCTCTGGGAGAGCTGGGATTGTTCAGCCTGGAGAAGAGAAGGATCCAGGGAGACCAGATTGTGGCCTGAAGGAGCTGAGAACAAACTGAGACTTTTTACAAGGGCTGGAGGGACAGGACACAGGGAATGGCTTCCCACTGCCAGAGGGCAGGGAGAGATGGGAGATTGGGAAGGAATTGCTGGCTGGGAGGGTGGGCAGCCCCTGGAATAGAATTCCCAGAGAAGCTGTGGCTGCCCCTGGATCCCTGGAAGTGTCCCAGGCCAGGTTGGAGCACCCTGGGCTGGTGGGAGGTGTCCCTGCCCATGGCAGGGGGTGGCACTGGACAATCTTTAAAGTCCTTTCCAACCCAAACCATTCCATGATTCCATGAAACCCCCAGAAGCAACCTGGGATAGTGGGAGGTGGACCCAGATTTATCTCCACACTGGACGAGAAGAAATCAAAACTTTACACTGTTAATAAAAGTGAATTGCGTACATTCAATTTATGTTTAAAAAAATCAATTCCTCTGATCAAAATAATGCTGCAATAAAATACCTAAAGTAGAAACCTTGATGCCAAAGTTATTTACGGCTACAAAGTGATTTATTTTCATTATTTACGGTTGAACCATCTGAACATCTTTGTGTTGCATAAATTTCCCACAAATATGAGGTTATATAACTTTTCATAATATTCATCACAGCAGAAAAGATACAATCAAGCAATTTGACCATTATTAAATTGTGAATTATACACAATCCCCTCTCTCTTAATATTGCAGTTCTTTTGTATTTCTTAAGCCATAGGAGATTTAATAAATCTTCGCAGGACTTAATAAAGAGGAGAAGATTTACCCAGGTACTGAGATATTCATTTAGGCTTCAGAGCCCTGTTGAATTTATTTCCACGGGATTCCTTATCACCAACCAGTTCCTGGATTTACTGCATTCTCCCCATGGCTCCTCAGAGCACAGGAAAGGTTCTTGGATGACTGGGCTGAACTGGTGTGGTGTCCATCAGGAAAATCATGGAATTGTGGAATGGTTTGGGTTGGAAGGGACTTTGAAGATCATCAAGTTCCAACCACCTGCCATGGGCAGGGACACCTTCCACCAGCCCAGGGTGCTCCAACCTGGCCTTGGACACTTCCAGGGATCCAGGGGCAGCCACAGCTTCTCTGCCCAACCTGTGCCAGGGCCTGCCCACCCTCCCAGCCAGCAATTCCTTCCCAATCTCCCATCTCTCCCTGCCCTCTGGCAGTGGGAAGCCATTCCCAGTGTCCTGTCCCTCCATGCCTTGTCCCCAGTCCCTCTCCAGCTCTCCTGGAGCCCCTTTAGGCCCTGCAAGGGGCTCTCAGGTCTCCCTGGATCCTTCTCTTCTCCAGGGGAACCCCCCAGCTCTCCCAGCCTGGCTCCAGAGCAGAGGGGCTCCAGCCCTCAGAAAATCTTCTTCCTCTCCATTCCTTTCTTTAGCTGAGGCCTCCACAGCTGGTTGCAGTGCTCCCAACAATTGCTAAATTTGTGGCTGTTTTGCTTGGAAACACCTCCTGGAGCCCTCCTGGAGCAGAGGCCACAGACTCCAAAGAGACCCCACTCAAACAGAAAATGTCCAAGAGCTGCAAATGAAACAATGCCATAAAAATAACACAGAGGAAAAACTACTACTTGAAAACGTCCCATCAAATTAAAAGAGAGAAGATATCCAAGCGTTTCTCCTGTATCTTAATTGCTTTATGTGACAAAAGTGGCAAGTGCCACGTCCTGCCCTCAGACACGAAGTCCATGGACTCAGACTCGGGAGGAGACTCAACCTGAGATCACCCTGCAAAGTGGGACCTCACTGACCAACATCCCAGGACATTCCTGTCTCCAAAACACCAGCAATTCCACCCTGCCCTTGCATCCCCAACAGCTTTGAAACACAAAATTAGGGTTACTGGAAACTCCTGGCAAGAAGAAAATCTGCTGTGGGACCTCTCGATAAGGAAGAGGAAATGAGCTGACTGAAGTAGTTGGAAAGTGAAATAATGAAGTTTTGATTTGCCTCTCCATTTAAAATACAACATTTCTTTATGCAAGGGCACTTGTCACGGGAGCTGAGAAGGAGGCTTTGACAAGAGCCTGAAGTCTCTGTGGAAGCTGTGAAATAAAAAAACAACAAAAAACCCACAAGAAATTCAAGAACAAAAAACTCTCAGGAGAAAAAAAAAAAATTCGGAGGGTTTGAAACGAAATCAAGTGTAAAATAACAAGAAATAAAGTCACATTTCTTCGCTCTGGTGAGATAGGATACACATGAGGACTACAGTGCTGACTTTAAAGAGAAGAAGGATAAAATAAACTGTGGATATTAGCATTTTATATTAATAGAAGTGCCTGTAGATTGCAGAATTCTCTCTGTGCAGCACAGATAATTCAACACACACTTGTTGTTCAAACCTTTGAGGAAAGTGGTTTTCCCTCGAAGATCTGAAGGTCATTCCTTTCCTCCTCAGAAAAGCCTGGAAAATTCAAAATCCAACAGTAAGTCTCTGCTTGTTTGTACTACTGATAGATGGGAATTCCTAATGGGATTTGGAGAAGAGAAGGCTCCAGGGACACCTGAGAGCCCCTCCCAGGGCCTAAAGGGGCTCCAGCAGAGCTGGAGAGGGACTGGGGACAAGGCATGGAGGGACAGGACACAGGGAATGGCTTCCCACTGCCAGAGGGCAGGGAGAGATGGGATATTGGGAAGGAATTCCTGGCTGGGAGGGTGGGATGGAATTCCCAGAGAAGCTGTGGCTTCTCTGGAAGTGTTCACCTGGGTTCTTATTAATGCCACCTGTTAATGTTAATGACATCATCCCATTGTGCTCTTGCTCTGGATGAGCTTTGGAAGCTGCTTTTCCTCTCTTGCTCTTCTCTGCTCTGGCATAATCGAGTTTTTTAATTGTTGATATTAATGTTTTCCTGCCCCCCCTGGCCCCTCCCATCCCCAAAGGACACCATGGGGGGCTTGGCATGACAGTCAAACCTATCAGTCAGTGGTTTATCCTGCCTGCCTTCTTGATTAAAATCCCTGCATTAAAAGCCTTAAAAAAAAAGCCCTAAAAGAGCTGGGAAAGGTGGTTGTTTGTCCTGTCCCTGTGGGAATAAGGATGTTTACTGAGCACTCTGTCAGGAACACCAGCTTTGCACAGCCTGACAGCCCAAAGCCACCGGCCTGCTGGAAATGCTGGAAATGTTCTCCCATGGGAACGAAGCAAAGGATCTGTGGCACGTTCCTGACGTGGATTATCCCACAGACAAGTCTCTCCCCATCCAGCATCCTCCTGGGAAGTGCTGATGGATGTCGGGAGAACTGCAGCCCCTCCTGAGCATCACCGAGGGTTTGTGGTGCTGCCCCCAACCCAACGACCTGTTCGGAGGGGTTTGGGAAGAACCAGCCTGAGGAACAGTCTGGGGGGATATTATGGAATGGTTTGGCTTGGAAGGGACCTTAAAGCTCATCTCCATCCCCATGGACACATCATCAACCAGCAGTTCGTCACACCCTGCAGACAGACACAGCAGAAATCTGCTCAGAATAAAACTCTTCTATTTAGATAAGAAGTGATTTTACCCTCAGGCTCCCACTTGGTTCCCTTTCATGTCATCAAATAATAATAAAAAAATAATCTGTCAGCATTAAACATTTAAAAATCAAACGTGCAAAGGACAATATTTTCGCTCGTGGTCATTTTCAGGTTTATATTTCTCTTCACGAGATCCTGGGAACTGATACTGGGGGAATGTTATCCTTGTAATGAGAATTCCTCCTCTCAAATGACAATCTGATCAGCAGCTAATTCTCTCCAAGGCAGTGGACAGCCTCAGGAAGATTCCTCTTGGATTAAAGCACAGGAAACTGCAGGACCTGAGCAGAGTTTTCCAGCTTTAATGCTGAGAATTTTCTCATCTATTCCTTCTACTCTGGGATTTCACTGCCTGCTCCAAGCAAAGCTGATTTTCCATATTTCCCCAAAGAAGATGCTGTGGTGTCACCTCCACAAAGACATGATATCTGCCCAAAATCTCCTCTGCTACTCCACAGCATCAAAACACAACTGAACCCCTCCTTTCTCACCACTTACCAACCACAGGCCTCTCCAAAAGTCTCCAGGACAAAGCTCCCCCAAACAGGTCCAGGCTCCACCTTGTGTTGCTGTTCCAAACTCTCCTGCATGGCTGGAATGGGAACTCCAAGGTGAGCTGAAGCCAATTAACACCCATTGATCTGCAATTAAGCTCCTGTGGATGGAAATTGTAAAAAATTTAAATGAAAATTGATTTTATGGGTTGCTTAGTTGTTTTTCTTTTTTTTTTTTTTAATTTTGTCACAGAGAAAGCAGTATTAAAAAAAAAAAAAAAAAGGAGGATAAAAAGAAGATTTTTTAGGTGGTTTCATAAAACAAACCTGGAAAGATCTTGGTGTTCAGGACAGCTGGAAAAAGCTGTAGCACATCAGAAGTTTTCAAATCCAGCACTTTCCTTACTCAAGATATTTTTTCAAGATACCTGACAATTTAGGGGAGGAAAACTGTGGAAAGGATTCAAGATCTGCTTAACTTTCCTTGGCCTACCAGACTCTTTAGTTCCTCCCAGATAAGAACACACTGTGATGGGAAAAATACAGGAAAAATATGGGAAATGGAGCAAAGTGCTGAAGTGTTAACAAGGCAGACCTGACACGTGGAGATGATGGCAGGAGACCATCCTGGTTCCATCACAGCTGACCTTGCCCTTGTCCCCCTTCCCCAACTGCTCTGCTTGCCATTTTTCAGGTGGCTTTTGGCAGCAAACAAAGTGAAAGTCAAACAAAGCTGCCAAATCAGTGGGAGCTGATCAGTGCCCAGCCCTGGGGGAACCATCTGCTGGAAACTTGGAGGCCACCAAACTCTGTCATCACTCTGAGGAGTCTTTCCTTCCACATCTGAGCCGCACCTGAGGTCCTTCCTTCCATCTGCTTATTAAAATAACTTCAGTGGCAGCTCAAGGCAGCTGGTGCTGGTTCTCAGCACACAGCACCCAAACGAGCCCAGCCCTGTGCCACCCAGGTTTTGTTTGATGTCCAGTTCCTGGATCCCTGCCAGCAGGGTATAATTGAGCAGCTGCTCCTCCATCACAGGCACCAGGACAGGCTGCAACAAAATTATTTAGGAACGTGAAAGATGGCAGTGAGCACAGAGAAATCATTAAACTCCTCACTCGCCAGGATGAAAGGCATCCCAGGGTTTATACCAGACTGAGAGGCTTCATGGAACAGCTCTTGGAGGTTATGAGCTAAAAAC